CTTTTTTAAATTTGAGACTAGATCAATTTAAAAAAAAAAAAGTCTAGTTAGAGGTGGATTTAAAGTGTTCTACCTCATCTTGATATATATTAAAATATAGTTTTTATATATATTTTAATTTTATATTCATATATGTATTATATCAATAAAATTATTATTTAATATCTTAATTTAATAAAAATATTATATTTATACAAGATATAATTTATATTAAAATTTTATGAATATTATACTAAATTTAAATAATTTAATTACTTTTGTGTAATGCGGGTCAAATGTGATTTATAGATTTATGTATCAAAATGGGATTAGCTATGAAAACATAATAATTTGATATTAAGTCGAAATCAGAGTGGTTTTAAATTATTAAAAAATGTTCAAAGTTGGGATAAGCATAAATTTGAACTCAACCCTTTCCCATTTTTAAATGGAGGTATTTGCATGGTACTAGAAATGTTAATTTTATCATATCCAATAAAGAACCCGATCTTTTGTCCAAATTGGAATGAGGATAGAAATGTATATAATTTTAAAATTTTATCAAGTATAGGGATGGGAATATGTAATATAACGCCCGTCCAATACCTTACATATATTTATAAATATATTTAGTAAATAGACTTTTTATTAAATCATATAATTATTATTTTAGATTAATTAAAATTAATATATTTTTATTTAAAAAATATATATTAATATATTTATAAAAATTACATAAATATACAAGACAAAAAATAAAAAAACTAAAAAGATTTTTATTTTTATTTTTTTAAAGCTATCATCTACTCATTAAATACTCACAAAGATAAGATGTAGTTAGGTTTGAAATATCCATTAGGTATGAATATGATTATAAGTATGAGAATAGATATAATATAAAAATTCAAAGATGAGGATAGGAATATCCTGCTCGCCTCATATCCTGCTTATTGATATCTTTACGTCATATTCCCATTTGGCTCTTTTTTTTATTTTTTGCTTAGACTTTTTTCTTTTCTTTTTATTTTTGTTTTGGTTTTCTTTTTTTTTAATTGTCTATTTAAGCATTTTTTATTTATGTTTGAAAAGATAAATAATGAGCAATTAAAGTGTCAACATGCCACCTCGATTTGACTTTCTATTTTGGCTTTTTTTTTGTTTTTGCTTTTTTTTTTCTTTTAATAAGATAAATTTAGTAAAAAATGTGATCAATGAAGGTTATGATGCTAAAATAATCTACATTTAACGAATTTTGACCCGTGGATCTAACAAAAGTGATTCTTTTAAATTAGAATTAGGCTATTATGATTTTTCCTTTTCAAAATTGAAGTCAAATCAAAGATGGATTTAGAGTGCTCCATATTGCCTCGTTCTTGAATATATATAAGAATACATATTTTATTATTTATTTAAGTTTACATTTATATTTATTTATATATATATTATATTAATATAATTATTATTTAATATCTTAATTTGATAAAATACTATATTTATTTATAATTAAAATGTAATTTATATTAAAATTAATATTTTATAAATATTATATTATTTAATTTTTTGTTAATAGGGATATCAATGGATAGGGCATGGGGAAGGTAAAACATTTTCCATTCCCATTTTCAAAATTTTATATTATATTTAACCTTGTTCCCATATCTAATGGATATTCATTCCCATCTTCGCGAGTGTTTAATGGGTAGAATAATCTCTATACCGGTAGTTTTTTTAAAAAATAAAAAAAAAATATTTTAGTTTTTTTATTTTAATCTTGTATATTTAGATAGTTTTTTATAAATATATATATTAATATATTTTTTCAATAAAAACATATTAATTCTAAGTAATCTAGAATAATAATTTATATTATTTAATAAAAATCTATCTACTAAATATATAAAAATATATATGTAGAGTATCAGTATAGGGCATGTGCTATATTATCCATTCCATCTCCGTATCTAATAAAAATTTAAAATTATACCTATCTTCATCCTCATATTTATAAAGTAATACACATCTCCATCTTTATCTAAGTGAAAAATTGAGTTTCACATTGGATATGAGTAAGATTGATATTCCTATTTTTCAAGTTGAATTGAATGCAGATTAAACATATATATATATATGTTGAGTTAGAATTAAATGTAAAAAATAATAATAAAATGTTAGGTCAAAGTTTGGAACAAGTATAAACTCACCCTAATTTGACCCGTTGCCACTCATGAGTGTAAATATTTATGTGGCACCCTTATTTTGTTTTTTTTTTTTTGGATCTTTTTTTAGTTTAAAATTTTTAATTATCTATTTTAATATATTTTAACTATATTTATTAAGATAAATTTTTAAAAATAGATATGAATTTGATTTGTTATATAAATTATGAAAATAAAAAGCATACATTATCTATAAATTAATTGATAAATTTTTATTGATTATTTTTTTATAAAATTATAAACTAAATTATAATTAATGATTTGTTAATTTTATTATAAACATTAATAATTATAACGAAAAAAATTTGGACCCACAGCAATGAAAATATTACTAGTCTATACCTATATATATTAAAACAATCCTTAAATGATGGTTGTTTGACACCTGTTTATTTTATAGAATTATTGTTTTACCCTTTCAACATTATACAATTAATATTTAATTTTTTAATTAAAATAAAAATAAAATAAATATAAATATATGAAAATTTTAAAATATATGAAAATTAAAAAAATAAAAATCGTTTAAATAAAAAATTGTCTTTCAAAAAACAGAAAAAAAAAAACACAAAAATATCAATATATATATATGGTAAAATCATGTGTCCGAAATAATAAAAAGAAGGATCTAGGTTTTTTAATCCAAAAAATAATTTTCAAAAAATTTAAGCAACAAAAACCACTATCAACAAAATTAGTCAATAAAACTAACAATAAAACAAGAAAAAAATCCTAAAAATTCTTAGATTAAAAATATTTTTAATTTTTTTAAAATTTAAAAATTTTCACTATTACAAGCATCAAGCCACCACCAACACAATCAACCAATAAACACTAAAAATCAAAAGTAAAAAAATAAAAAACTTAGATTTAAAGTTTTTTAACATATTTTTATTTTTGGAAAAAAAAAAATAAAGAACATGAAACAAAATACAAAACATAAGACAACAATACAAAGATAAATTACTGCCAGTAATGACTTATGGAAGTAGGATAGTAATGGGAATTATGATTTTTTTTTTTTTTTTACAAAATGAGGAATTTTTAGTGAAAGGTAGGAAAACAAAGTAAAGAAAAGGAGAGAACAAATAAAGAATGATAAAAAGACAATCATCAGAGACTCATGGTGGCAACAATGGTGATCAGAGGTCGAGACGTTTATAGGTTTTAGAAGGGGGATTGGTGTGAGCAAAGAGGAACTAGCTCAAAGGTCCAAAACATGATATGTTTGTTCAGCAAAAGGCAAAATGAGAATAAAAAAGGATAGTGCTTTCGATGTTTCTTCTTTTTTTATTTCAACTAGGCTTGAAATATAATTGGTTTTAAGACTAATTTATTCTTTGGCCCAAATAAAAGGATTATTACCTTTTGGGCCTATTTTTGTTTTAGAAAGTTGGCCTTACTTGCTTTTATTTTTAGTTTAGCTTACTTGAATTTCAATTTTTACAAAATTCATTCTATTAAAAAATTTTAATATTTTTACTGATTAATTGAACAAGAATGCTACATGTCACTTATTATTAGGGTATAATTTTATCTTCGTAACCTCAAATTATCTGACTAAAATATTCAATTATATGTTTCTTTTCTCTTACCACTTGAGAGACCTTTAAATCGAGATAATTTTGACGTAGAAAAAAAAAATGAAAAAAGAAAGAAGAGAAAATGGATTAAGTCTAAGCTTAATCAAGATTTTTCTCTTTATACCCAATAGAAGTGATCAAGCCTAATGGATTATATTCGTATTTTTAAAGACTTTAAATATATAATCTTTAGTCATTTAATTTAATTATTATTATTATTCATTATATTTTATTGAATCTTTTAATGTAAATTAAAATTTTTATTAGATTTACTAAAAGAAAGTGAAAATTCAAAAATAATAATAATCATATAATACGATTGTTGAAATTTTCTTAATAGTAGAAATTTTAGGAAATTTGTAGCAATACTTTTCAAGAAAAAAAATTAAAATGAGGAATAATACAATTAGAAGAGACCTAATAATTATTCCAATATTTGATTAATTTAAAAAATAATAAAATGAGATAAAAATATTAAATATTAAATATTAAATAAATACAAATTAGATGATATAATTTTTTAAAAATTTCAAATGACAAGAGATATTTTTAAAATTTCATTTATGTTAAGAGAATTTAAAAATATTTTACTTGCTATCAAATAAAATAGACAAATTGTCAACATAAAAAAAATAGTAAAAAGAAAATATAATAAATAAAAATTACAAAAATAATATATCTATATTTCAAATGTTACGATCACTATATTTTATTTAGTATATATTTTTATAATTAATTTTTTATATATAAATATATACAACGCAGTTGAAGTCAAACATCAATATTAGTGATAATTAAATTAATAAGTGATTTGTTCAATCGGTTAAAATTTATTTTTTTTGATGAGAGATATTGAATTCGAATCTTATCGATGATTACTTGTTGGAGTCATTTAAAATACACAATTTATAATTACTTGTTTTAAATTATCAAATATAATACATATTATCTTAATTTAAAAGACTAAATAATTTATCTACTCTCAAATTTAAAAAAAAAAAACATTAAACTTCACCCTTTCTTACGGCGACATTAGCAAGTAGACACGTGTACGTTTACTCATGACCTCATGCTAAAATTTACAGCGTCATTGGTGATTTTTGTTTTTTGGTTGCAATTGTTACGGCTGAAGTTTTATTTTTCAAAGTTATTGGTGCAACAAGAGCTCTATTCTTCACCTGAGTGAAGCACCGTACCACAGATATAAAAGCTATAAAAAGGTTACAAACAAAAAGCAAACAAATAACACTTAACCAAGATTGACACCATTTCCTCTTTTATGGGCTCTCTCTCCCCAAGCCAAAGCAAGATCTTTGCTGTTTGTTTACTTTTGATTTGGTTTATTTTTTGCTCGCACGAAACTCTAATCTATTTTCAACAACCATTCTCTGATTTAAATCACATAACTTCAAATTCCCATTTGTTATTAGATCACCAAAAAAGGGGTTCCTTTTATTTTGCAAGATCTTTTCTTTTTCCTCTTTTTTTGGATTACAAACAAAAAAAAATCACATTTTTGAGGTGGGAAAATGGGGAAGGTGGCAGTTGGGATGGCGGTGGTATGTGGGGTAGCGGTGGCAGCTGCAGCAGCAGTGGTGGTTCATCGGAAAATGAAGATGTCAGGGAGGTGGATCAAAGCAATGGAGATAGTAAAACAGTTTGAAGAAAAGTGTGGGACCCCGATTTCGAAGCTGAGGCAAGTGGCTGATGCCATGACTGTAGAGATGCATGCTGGTCTTGCCTCTGAAGGTGGCAGCAAACTCAAGATGCTCATCAGCTATGTTGACAATTTGCCTACTGGGTATTTCACTTTCTTTCCTTCGTCTTTAAACATGTATAATTATGTATTTATTTGATCCGTTTTGATTGGATTTTATGTCGGTGTTTTGTCACTTTCTACCATGAATTAAAGATCAATGTTCATTCATATATTGCAAATATTATGTGTCTATGTATGTATGTCTGGGTATTTTGGATCAGCTACAGCTAAGTCTTAGGTGGATTTTTTGTCTAACATATGTTTTGAATCAGTTAATATGAGGCTGTCTATTGTTTGAGATTGTTTATGTGAGATTAAGTTTATTGACACTTGCTTGAGTTTATGTGGGTTTCTCTACATATGTGCACATCTAGAAATTTATGTTCCATCTGATCCACTTTGAAGATTCTTCTCTACATGGTTGGGGTGGATGGGTGACATGATAATGTACTATTTTTTCTTACTTTTTTTTATTTGATTCTCATATGTTAGGTGGTCCATTTGAGATTTTAGTTGACAAGATTGTAATTTTTTTTTCTTTCTTTTCCTAAATTAGGAATGAGAAGGGATTATTTTATGCATTGGACCTTGGTGGAACTAACTTCCGTGTGCTACGAGTGCAATTGGGAGGAAAGGATAGTGGTATTGTCAATCAACAGTTTGAGGAGGTGTCTATTCCTCCGAGTTTGATGACAGGGACGTCAGATGTAAGTGCTGCTTTTCAAGTGAAGACGGGAAATTAGTTGAGCCGTAAAGTCTCTAATGTTTGGCTGGTGATCTTTGATTCCAGGCACTATTTGACTATATTGCTGCAGAACTTGCAAAATTTGTATCTCGAGAAGGGACGGATTTTCAACTAACTCCTGGTAGGCAGAGGGAGCTTGGTTTTACCTTCTCATTTCCTGTGATGCAATCATCCATTGCTTCTGGAACCCTTCTTAGGTGGACAAAAGGCTTCTCTATAGATGAAACAGTTAGTGTTAATTGCTCAGATTCCCTTTTCATACTTATTATGCATTAATCTTTCTCAAATTTTAAGCTACATATAAATTCGACCCATATATTCCCCCTAGACATTAGTTTAACAAAGGCAATAGTTTATGAAGAAAACTTTTTAAGATTTCATTTATACCGCTTCAATGCACATCACTGCTCTTTGCAGGGACAGAACCCCTGCCCCGGGGGGGGGGGGAAGGGGGCCATGGCCCCCCCTGGCTTTTTGAAAACCTATAGTACATGCATACATAATAGTTATGGGTCTGCAAATACTTGTTTAATTTTTATCGATCGGCCCCTCTTGATCCTTACGAGTTTTATGGAACATTTTTGGGCTTTCCTCTTTCCTTGGCTTTTATTTCATTTTTTATATTTTTGAACCTTTAACTATTTTAGTAATAGTCCATTAGATAAAACCTAACACATAATTATTTATTACAATATTTTTAACTTTTTGAGTTACTTCCTTCCACTCTCTAACTCACAATATGGACAACATCAACACTTCATTTCTTTTGTCTTTTAAACTTTAATTGTTTAACACTGGAAAGATATTTCTATTTTCAAAGCATCAAAAACAAAGATTAGAAGGCTTTATATATTATGTGTTTCTTCTTTTTTTTTTTTTGAATGGTTTAAAGAAAAAGAAAATTTGCATCAAATTTTTTTTTTTATCATGAAAGTGTTAATATTTATTATTTTAATATATATATATAGTTATAATTGAAGGCGTATAATCAATTATTTTTTATTTATTATTCATTATATATCTTATTTTTTATTCATATATTTAATCATCTTTATTGGTTTATATTTATGTATTATGCTTTGAATATTGTATTATTAATGTATTTGCTATTTTAACTTTTAATTAAAATTTTGAATTATAACCAATATGTCCAAGAGATCAACAATTGATGCATTTTTTTTTTTTTTAAAGGCATTGAACATGGACCATCGTCATCTATCCATAATATTGAAAGTTCAAATCCCGAAGTTCATTCTATAAAGGTTCAAAACATTGAATATAAAGAGATTGATATTGTTTAGTTAGAAAGAAGTCAAGTATATATTGCATCCTTCAAGTTGGAAATATTCCATTATTTATTTATGTGAAATTTAATTTGGGTCCTCTGGAAAAAACTCCTCGCTCCGACCCTAGCTCTTTTGGTTCTTTGTGTAATTGATTAATGCAACTTCTCATAAAATTTGCATTTTGATCCTCAACTTATATTTCTTTATCACTCTTGGTGATGGATTAACAGGTTGGCCAAGATGTGGTAGCAGAATTGACAAAAGCCATGGAAAGACAAGGCCTTGACATGCGTGTTTCAGCTTTGGTAGGGTTCGGTTATGGATTTTCTTTTGGTTATAGGACCTTTATATACTTGAATTTGAGCTGTGAACCTGATACAGAATAATTATCTTGCTTATCATTATGGTTATTCTTTTCTCCTATCGTCTTACTGCAACATCTTTGACACCAGGTCAATGACACCGTTGGAACACTAGCTGGAGGTAGGTATACCAACAATGATGTTATTGCTGCTGTGATCCTTGGTACTGGATCAAATGCGGCATATGTGGAACGTGCACAGGCAATACCAAAATGGCATGGTCTACTACCCAAATCAGGACAGATGGTTAGCCATTCTTTAATTGCTATTTGTAACTTTCTATAGCTTTGAGACTGTTTCTTTTCTTTCTTGATGTCCCAATTAAAATCAATGATGGTATCCATGTAAGTTTGGAATAGAACTGTTTAATTAGGTTGTATGAACACTAAAGTTGCTGTTGATAATGGCTGAAGGTTATCAATATGGAATGGGGTAACTTTAGGTCATCACATCTTCCATTAACAGAGTATGACCATGCACTAGATGCTGAGAGTTTAAACCCCGGTGAACAGGTAAGTGCACAATTTTGTATTGTTCTGGTTCCTTTAGCTTACTTCTCTTAAACATAATTTGTTCATCTTATATTCTTTTGATTTGCCACAGATTTATGAGAAGGTAATATCTGGTATGTATTTGGGAGAAATTGTCCGCCGAGTTCTGTGTAGGATGGCTGAGGAAGCTGCATTCTTTGGTGACACTGTTCCACCAAAACTTAAAGTGCCATTTGTATTGAGGTAATTTCCTCAGGCTATTTACAGATCTGTATCCTTTTTAATTTTTCTTTGCTCTCGGTATTTCTTTTTGTTTGATTCCAGTTATTTTTCGTCAACTACACTCTAATTTCTGTAAATTGGTTAACATTTTTATCTATGATGCTGTATGCTAATCATTTTCATTTTCACTGTGTTTGAAATGAGAAAACTGGTATTGAACATTTTGTTTGTGCTTGCTAAGAAATGTCATTCGTAGAAAACTTATTTTGCGTGAGATTATGAGAAGAATTTGAACTTGGAAGTGATCTGGCTAGGTTGGGTTTTTCTATATTCAAAGAACTATTAACTTTGAGTCAGTATATGTAAGGTTTTGCATAACACCTTCAGACTTCAAATAAAGTTGTATTCCTTCCTAGGAGATGATATTTCTTTCACTGGTTCTGTGCTTATTTCTTGAATTCATATATACCCAAATTATGTTTCGTGTGACACAATCTAATGCACAAATTTTTAATTGCTGCTGCTGGAGTATCCAATGCAAAGGTGGTTAGACAGGTGGTACTATGCTGAGGATATGGTTAGACAGTTATCTTTCTGCTTTATCAGCAGTTGCACTGAGATGCTGTGGCTGAGAAAAGGGAATTGGAGGAGTATCTTTGCAAAGAAGTATCTGTTCAATGCTATTTAGCTTCAAATACTTATTGTTGGAAAATTTTCAATTACACTGTCCACTGGTCAAAATTTTTCATAGGTAGCAAAAGGAGCGCACTATAGCTAAAACTTAGGATTGGCGGTCTCCAGTCTTTTATCCCAAGAGACACATCTGATTTCGTTTTACCCTATCGATAGAAAAAATTGCAAATGGAGACAATTTTTGGAGGATGGTTCCTATGGTAATTTTGCTTAAAGAAATCAATATGAAAATTCTCTTTCTATAATGTGTTTAAATATGAAAGTTCTCTTCTTTGAGCGAAAGATGATTCTTTATTTATTGAAACTGTTGAATTGACTCAAGTTAAAGAAGTGAAAAGGTTGAGAAATATGGATTAACCATCATTAGAAGTCTGCTCTATGGCATGAGAGAAATAGTGGGTGCTTTGTATTATCATTTCCATTGTCTCTATATTTGGGATTGAGTCTAATTTATCCCTATAACTTGTAAATGGTCTGGTAACGTTTTCTCTGACATCATATCTATGCTTCTCCAATCTCCATTCAATACATTTACCGTGAAGCTAATACCTTAGTTTAAGGATATTTTTTCCAGTCATCTAATATATCATATTAGTCGTCATTATTCATCAATGATTTCAAAAGGTTATCCATACTATGCAAAGCATGTATAATTTATATTGGCTCATGCGTGCAAAGAGCCTACTTTGTGGCCAGCTGTTACGTTGGGCACTTGCCTCCATTGTCTTCATATGAAGTGCTTCTTATAGATAGTTTGTTGTATCCAGTGTCATTTTTAGTATTGATTATTACTGCATAGAGCAGTCAATAACTGCCAGTGGTTGTTGTTTACTTTTGTTACTTTCTTTGGCAGTGTGGATTTATTAGTTGTTATTGCCTTTTCTATACTGAAAGATGCACTTTTGTATTGTGTTCAAGATCTGCATAGTAATATTTGTGCTTTGTTAACGTGCAGGACACCTGTCATGTCAGCAATGCATCAGGACACTTCCCCTGACCTCAAAATAGTAGCCAATAAATTGAAAGATATTCTTGAGGTATATTTTAATCTTGAGAAAGTTCTCCACATGTTGCTCTTGATCATCAAAACTTGGTTATTTCACAATTTTTCTTGGCCTGAATTACTTTTTGACCTCCATATCTCTGATGGAACTCCAAAATCTCTGTGAATTTTTAGTTTTGCATAATGTTGGTTGATCCCAATATACAGGATCCTATTTCAATTTTTTAATTTCATTGGAATCACTTCAAAATTGACTAAGAGCAGGACAGTTCAATACCTAGGAAAAACTTCCATAAAATCACTAGCTTAATATATCAAAAAAAAAAAAAAAAAAACGAAAATACTGACTTGAAGCTTGTTTTAGCTGAGAACTGCAGAGAATATGTTTTACTTGCAACTTTGGAAGCTGGTTAACACTCTTAAATTGTGATTATTGAATTATTGTTGTCTATGTTCAGTATCTTGTCTTGGCCTTAATGGATTAAAGGTGAAATACTGGCTACTAGTCTACTGGCGCTGAAGTACAAGGCAACTTTGTGTTGTGTGTTTTAAGCCTGTCTACATTTTTTCTATTTCAGATATCAAATACCTTCCTGAAGATGAGAAAAGTAATTGTTGAGCTTTGCGACATTGTTGCCAGACGTGGGGCACGTCTTTCAGCTGCTGGGATACTAGGCATTCTGAAAAAAATGGGAAGAGACACAATCAAGGAAGGGGAGAAACAAAGAACAGTAATAGCTATGGATGGTGGACTATATGAGCACTATACCGAATACCGCAAGTCCCTGGAGAACAGCCTAAACGAATTGCTGGGAGAAGAGGTATCTGAAACCATTGTAGTTGAGCATTCGAATGATGGATCTGGCATTGGAGCTGCTCTCCTTGCTGCTTCCCATTCACAGTATCTTGAAATGGATGAATCCTGAGAGCAGTGAGAACTGGTTCAATCATTCTTTTGAAGTTACTTGTGATAGATCTTGGCAAAGTGTTATCCACAGATTTTCTTTTTCAACCTGGAGGATTAGCGTTTTATTCCTTTTCTCTTTTTTATTTTTTGGTTTTGAAATTGTTAGGATTTGAATTTTAGTCACCAAAATTAAAGAGTCTAGGGCTTTTATAGTAAAAAATCTTAAATAATTGCCTGCAGAGTACGTGATGAGGTGGATTAAATGTATAAAATCAGGACCTGGAAGCGTGAATTCTTCCGCTTCGGCCTGTGATTCTGTTCATTGTTTTTCTTTCCTTCTGGTGCTTACTGCTTAGGCATTAAAATAACTGCCAACCCTTTTATATTTCTCGCATTCGGCTCACTAATAATTTGATTATCTTCTATGTGATTGTGGCTATGTATCATGCAGCGTCAAACCGTATCTATGTCTGTACATTCTGCGAAGGATAAAATTGCTTGACGAAGTATATTGAGGCCCTGGATGAATCGCTTTTCATTTCAAGTAGACTGCTACATACTGTATTACTAAGAAAAAAATGAAGTTGCAAAAGATTATCTGAAGAGTCTGATTGCTTTGAAATTGTACTGAAGGAACTGCAGTGCAAAGGATCAAAGCTGTATTTTGCCCAACGTTCGAACAAATTCTTTCAATTGAAGGAACCAATCAGTGTGGTAAGGTTTTTGATCAGTCTCTAAATCGACTTTAACTTGCAAGTTTTGAGCATGAACTGAGATTTGCATACTCAAAGGAACTTAACTTGGACAATCAATCTCAATCTCCCTAATTCAATCTAAAAACCGAAGATTCAATGCCAGGAATTTTGGAATGGTCAGAGATTTTGATTTCGACTTCAAGAGAATTTTACCAGCGGTTAGATAATAAAATTATTACCGGTCACGAGTTGGGATAGGAATCGAGTAGTACCTTTAGGATACTCGTTACTCGAATTATATTTATAAATAATATTTTTTTAATATTTTATATATTTTTATTTATAAAATGTTTATTATTAGTATAATATTTAATTAAATTAATTCATTAAATGTTTTAACTATAATTTATTTTTGAGTTAATTTTAATTAATAAATTTATTTTTTTAATAATAACCATTAAATTGATTTTAATTTAAATTTGAGAGTTAAATTTTGACTTAATAAACAAATATTTAATAAATTCGAATAATTAATGGTATTTCTTATATTACATAATATGATTAGAATAAAAAAAAAAAATTCATATAATTATCAGATTAGAATATCTTGATAAATAATGAGATTCAAATGAATACCCTACCCATTGTCATAATCATCATCATCATAATCTCCTTTTCAAGTTTCCTTTTGTTCCTGTCGTTCTTATTGTGTTCTTCCATCTCTAGATTGCAACACTGTTTTCTTGGACAAGCTTTCTTGGCTATATTGATTTCTCAATGTAATTTTCGCGTCTTAATTTTCATTTTCAACTATCAAAATTTTATTAAAGGATAATATAACGACTTCAAAAAATTAATCTAATTGATTAAAAAAAAACTATTTTTCTCATCCAAGATTTAATCATTATAAAAAATATTTTAAAAATAAAATTTTAAATTCACCAAATGGAATCAATGAAGATGGTTACATTCTTAAAATCATAAGATTAAGTTAGACAAAATTTGAAAACCCCCCTAACTATATTACCATAAAAATGGATTTATAATGGAATTCTTGGACTAGGAATATGGAAAGCAACATAAATGGTAGCATAAGGTGTCACCAGTACTTTTGACATTTTGCAATAGTATACGTGTATAATAAATTTTTTTAAAAGGAAAGATGTTTCTTTACAATAAAATCCGCCGAGACAATGCAGACTTGTCGAGGTTAGTTGAATGAATGATTTGTACACAAAGGAAAATATGTAATCAAAAACTAGTATTTTATGAATAAAAAATTAAAAAAAAAAAACCCTATAAAGCTTAACCCTACAAACATATGAACAAAGTCATACAAGCTAAACTTACAAGTTAAAAGACATGTCCATTTATTGGTCAACAAGCACACGTGTTCCAACCAACCAAACCGTCCCTGGCAGATAAGGCAAAGGCCAATGACCAAGCAAACGCCCTGATAAGTGCCGGCAACTGCGAGCGTGTGTTTGACACCCTCTCACATTCCCACTCGTGACACGTCTCCAAAGGAATTATACTTAGACCAGTGTTATTTTTGGGCCCAAAGTTAGGCAGCTCCGTTGATAATGACCCCTCAATCCGCCCCTCTAAACCTTTTTTTTTTTAAGCTACTTCCTCTTTTTTCTAAAAGTTTCTTGTGCCCTTCGAAGTTCATTGAGCTTGACACCGCCCCTAGACTTTAATACCCAAACCAAACCAGACAGTCTAAACCATGTTTCGTTGACCAGTGCTTAACAAGTTTGGTTGTTGATGGAACATTGGTCAAAACCCATGCGCCAATGAGACCAAAAGGGTTAGAGTAAGGTATGGGGTTGTCCTTTTGACCAACAAGTAAATCCAAAGCCAAAAGCACAGTTTGAATTTTGAGTAGAGTACTACTCGGTCGCAGCGAGCATCAATGGAATCAAAGCAAAAGAAAAATGTTGGGACTTTAACCATTCCGAAATGGGTTGTTAATACAAAGCATATAACACGAAAGGTTACACATCGAACTCAAGATTTTGCTTATTATTTACGCATTGTTCCAAATGGCATTTATGTAGGGGAAAATAAAAAAGCATGTTAAACAAAGGTGAAGAAGTCAAAATTTACATAAAAAACTACTTAAAACTTATATATATACTCTTAGTGCAACCAGTTCGTACAAAATAGGGGAGCAAAATGTCAAAACGTGAACATAATTATTAGTCTCTTTCTTCAAACTTTGGTGGAGAATCTTCAAAGGAAAACTCTAGTTTTCGAGGCAGAGTCAAGCCGATGTCTTTCCCTGACTGCTGCTCCCAACTGTAAAGGAACAACGATCAATTTCTTATCATGAAAGGAAAAACAAACAGTAATCATTAGTTTTTTTCCATAATAAACCAACACTCACGGCTAAGTGCAGATAGTTCGGAGCTCTTCAACACGCGCAGCCTCTTCACTGTTGATACAAACATGCTGCAAAGCCAATTTAAAATCCAGACATAACAAATTTATTCATGTATGGTACAACATACTATTAAACAACTGCAATCAGACAAACCAGTTTTTGTCGTATTTTGGTAGTGCATACATTAACAAAGAGTATGCCAGACTATCGGTAAGATATTAGGAATCTAAGGCTGTTTTCCTGGAAAAACTAATAGACAAAAAATAAAATAAAATGGTATTACGCTATAGGCTCAATCATTTTGGGAATATAATAAGGTATGGTATAATCTCAAATTGCATCAGACACACTGTGATTAGATGCTTACTGCCATGGGACATCCCCAACAAGCATCCTGTCTCCTTCGTTATCCTCGTAAACAAGTGTATATTCCCCCCTTCCGTCCAATACGCCTGTAATCACTTTCTCTTCCTCTTGCTTGTTCACTATTCCACCAGCAGAGGAATCTTTTTGAGCTACACGGATCAAAGAAAGAGACAAACAGATGAGATAACCATGTCCGTCAATTTGGATCACATTAATATAACCTAAGAGCTTAATTGCAATAAGAACAAGCAAACGAGTCCAAAATTTTTCCCTTGAAATATGCAAAATAAAATTCCTCTTAACAGTTGAAAACTAACACTAATGTGAACTGATAGCTCATATAGTAACCAGATGAAATACAAAAATTTCTAATACACTGAACAAATGATGGGGCTGTCAAACACAAGATATGTTGATAATGTAGATACATATTAAATGATGAATGAAACAAACTTCCATAATGGCTAATGGACATGACTATCAAATCAAATTTAGCTAAACCATGTGAAAATAATTGCCAAGGCTTGATTTTATCTCAGTTATTATATATCCATTGAATTGAAAATAATAGTACAATAAATTTACCAGCAAGGAGGCCTCTGAAGAGCTCATCAACAGCAGTCGACAGTTTTTCATAGCTGTCATAGGCTTTGAGATCCACTTTCCTGCCAATTGGAACTCCATCCATGTTGATTTTCACAAATAGGCTTTTTCCACTAGGTTCAGCTGCTGCTTTTTCATTCACAACCTTGTGAGGGACCACACTTCGTGATTCAGAAGCTAGTTTTGAAGAGCTGCTGCCTGCAAGATTTTTCCTAAAAGAACGAATTGGAGGCCAACCCACAACTGGACCAGGAGCACTTCTGTTCCCCATGATCGTAACCATGGAATTAGACAATAAAAACATCACAGTTAATTCAAGGCTGAATAATAGAGATGAATATGTACATGGGTTATTTACCTGATCATTCAGAAAAAGATATAGCTACAACTATAAGCCGCATAAACCAAATTAGATGCCTACGAGTCTTGAGAGAAAAAACGTCTACCAAAAATATAAACATAAGAGATCCTATGCTGAACAATATATAAACATAAGAGATAGAATCAATACAATAATACCATGGGAGAGGAAACTGTAGACAACAAGTAAAACTTGTTTATCTAAGAAGAAAGATATGGGTTAACCATTTACTACCAAAACAGGACAGGAGCTATCATAATGAGCAGATCAATAAATCATGTAGAAAAAAAAAACAATTAAAACATCTTAGGGAGAACAGTAAGATTTTGCATTAAAACTACGAAATATTCAGATACATATGAAAGATAAATTGAGATTTCATGTAACATGAGAAACATAAAGAAATGAAACAACAAGCATGCATGGACCACACAACATCAAGTAAGGTAAACTTGTGACTTGTGAGTGAATATCCTCTGTCAAAAGAGATTTTAAAAAGTAAAAATATATAAATTAAAGAGAGAGAGAGAGAGAGAGATGAAAAAAGCTGGAGTACCTTTTCTGAGAACTGTTGGGGGGCACAGCTGTATTTGCAGGAGGTGAAAATGCTTTTCTCTCTGCATTCTGCAAGTCTACCACTTTAGTGCAACAGGGCTGTGACGATTCCTTTGCTATAACAGGCAAGCTCTGTGGGGCTGTTGATGGGAACTGAAGAAATGAAGGAGGCTTTATCTGCTGTTGATGGTTATGCTGGAGGTTTTTGGCCCATGGAGTGGACAAAACTGACCCAGCCGGCTGGTCTTCAGTAGATGGAAACTGATGTGTCTGTTTTCCATTGCTCTTCATTGAAGAGGAGTACCCAAGTGAGAGTAAAGACTCATCTCTCTCTCGGTTGTTGTTTTTGGTGGCGTCTTTGAAGGACCAGTTATCTTCACCTGGGGGACCAAGCCTCAGTTCTAGCTTCTTCTCCTCTGAGGATCCATGCCTTATCTCATCTTCCCCCTTCACATGCCACTTTCTTCCTTGAGGAATCAAATATAGAAGTTGAGGACATGCTTCACCATTCTTTGAGCAACCGCTCTCCATACCCTTAACTGATGGAACAGATATCCAACAAACCCAAAAAGATCACCTTTTTTTTCTTTAACTTTGAGACCAAGAACCAGCAACAAACTGAAAAAATAAAGTGCTGCAGGTTTAGAAGCTTAAGTATCACAAAAACAAACTAGAGAACAAATAAGAACGACATAAAACCATGCAAATGCTTAGACACATAGTCCATAACTAACGAAATACAAAGAAACTTGCCCTATACCTTAAAAGGAGTAACTCAACCAAAGCTCAAAACAATGAAGACCCGCATCATGAAATCAACAATGCTTCCCTTGGCTATGAAAAACCTTGATAGGAAGAAGTGATAGAACTTCGAAGATTTTAGCTAAAAACGCAAGAACTGTCCAGCTAAGAGAGCCTCAACCATTCAATTCCTTCAAACCAGAACCTTTAAACTGGAAAAGCCAGACCAAAAACGCAAAATAAAAAAAAAGTACCCTTTAAAAGGAAACCCGATAAAAGAACAAAGTGTCTTTAACATCTCAAAGGGAAAGAGGAGAGAGAGAGAGAGAGAGAGGACTATGATCAGAGGGGTGGGTTCTTATCTAGCTTTCCGGTTTTTCCTTTTTTTTTTTTTTGCACGCCTTGGTGGGTTCTTGGTTTCTATTTTTCTTTCTCTCTCTGTGTAGGACTCGACATATATGGGAAGATGATTTTTTTAGATGCGGTGAACAAGGGGAGGGGAAGCATAAAAACAGAAGAGATGATAAAACCAGGGGAGATTCCCTTTACTCAATACCCAAAAACAGGAAACAGGAATTGGAACATAACTCACGCAACTACAGCTGCCTATATAACGATAGGTTTTGTTCAGCTCAGGAAGCAAAGCGTGCTGTTGCTGACGTCCAAAACATACTCTTGTAACTCTTCCTTTCTCTCCGTAACAAGTTTTTACAAACAAAACTTCAGCCTCATTAGCACAATACCCCAAACATCCCCCCTTTATTAGAGTCTTGTCCTGGGAGAGGGTAAAGACAAGGAAACCAACAAAATAAACACCCATATGCTTAAAATGTAAGCCAGTACTTTGAGTTCATTTTCTCACTTTAAAGCTCATTTAGCTACAAACTCAAGGGAATGATAATATGGTATTTACTTTATGCTTTTGTTGGAGGACTGGGGTCCTTAGAATTAAAGCTTTAGTTGGATAACAAAGACAAATCATGTGCACTTTTTCCCCAAAAATATTAGAGATCGAAAAGAATAATTAATTGAACGTTAATTAAGTTGAATTGGTTAAAAAGAGAGACTTGAGGCTTAATTTAAAACAGGAGTTGCTTTTGAGGAGGTCAAGAAAACTGACGGATGGGATGTGATTTGTTGCTACTATTTATTTCTCCTTATTTCAGAGGAAATTAAAGAGAGAAAGAGATTTGCATGATCCATTTTGCGCCGGGACGGCGGCTTTGGTGCAATAAAATCATGCAGATCCCAGCTCCTGTGTGGTCTCTCTCTCTTTCTCTTGCTACCGTCCACTTATTCCCGGACCCCAATACCCATACAGGGTTTTAAGAAAAGAAATATATGGCATAGATTACATAAAAATGTGTTTGATTATTACAAAATTTGGTGCCCCACGGTAGAATCTTATGCAATGAGCCCCGATGAGCTCCATTCACTAAAATTTGCTGTTCTTTTTCTATCTTGAGATTTGTGTTGAACACAAACAGAACTGACACAGTTCTTTGAACTAAAACTGTGATCATAGCCAGGTTTAAGGGAGGCAATTTTTTGTTGGTTTTTGCATATGAGATTTTTTATTTTTTTAATAAAAATCTAAAATAAAAAATAAAAAAAATATCCCTACTGGTTAATCATAGTAATAATTAAAACTTTAATTTAATTAATTTATGTATTTATTTTTAAAAAGTAATTTTTAATAAATTTAAATTTAAACTTCAATGCCTACAATTTTTTTTTCACGGTAATGCTTATTAAGTAAAAAAAATCATTCTAAAATAATCGTCACTAAAAAAACTGTTCTCCTCTCCAAATGGTCAAACATTCTTTCAGCGGCTCACCGAACCAACCAAACTTTACTGCATGACTATATTGTCCTTTCGTGTTTAATTTAAACACGATAATTTTTTTTTTTATTTTTTTCAAACAATAAAATGAGCCTAAGAAAAGGAAAAAAAGAAAATACTTGTACATTTTCTGTCTGCAAAAAAAATCAAAATATTTATAAGATAGCATAAGAACATGTAAAATTTTTTATATATCTTATTTTTAATCCTATTTTATAGATGGTTTATTTGTTTTGTGAATATATTTTTATACCATTCCGGATGTTTCTTTCTTTTTTTATGTGTTATATTCATTTATTTAATTTAAACAATATTTTTTAGTAATATTATCAAGAAAATTAACAAAATAATCCAAAAAAAAAAAAAGAAATCGCAAATTTCTTCTTTGAACAATAAATAATATATTTGTAAAATAAAAGAAAAAAATTTATAAAATACTTCATAAATCAAACAGGAAATAGCTAGATTGACTATTTGCAATTCAACCCATAAAGAATTTGTTGATTTGTTTTTTAATGTACTTTTATTGTCAATGATTTTTTTCACTTATATGGTGTTAATAGCCTATTTTAAAGATATCATTTTTAATTCCAATGTTTAATTTAATTAATTTATAAAATAATTTATAAAATAATATTTAATAAATTTAAATATTTGTAATATATTATTCTTTCTTAAGACTCTTTTTTTTTTTAAATCGTCGGGTCATAAGTTGAAATTAAAATCAATAAATCATTGAAAATGTATTGTATTGAAAGAGAAAAAAATATAGAGTGATTAACCAAAAGTTTTCAACTCATAAATGACTATATTAAAGCGTTAAATAAAAAATTTTCCCCTTATACACGTGAACAATAAAATATCATTTTTCCTCATATGTAATAAAATATTTTTAAAAATTGGACAATTGAAAATGATGTTTGATGCAAGTATCATGATCAAGCAAGAAAAATTCACTCCAATACTCCTTGTTAACTTAAAAATAAAAACATGGTTTTAAAATTGTTTTTTACCAAAAAAAAAAATAAAAAATTTCTTTAACTAAAACGGTAACCCTTTTATATAAAAAGAATTTTGGAGAACTTGTATTTTAATTAATTAATTAATTAATTAATTACTTTAAAAAAGGCATTCATAAATTTATAATTGTCTTGAGAAACTAAAATAAATCATCAAATAAAGTTGAAAACCAATCTTTTGAAAAGGGTAATGTGGTCATGACATATTAAATAAAACACTAATGATTATTGTCAACTAAGAACATAATCGACGACTTAATGTATTTATTTCTCATTTTGTATTTTAATGTTTGGTTTTTTTTATTAAATGAATTTAATTTGGGTTATTATTTTTAATATTCTATTCAAATTAAAAATTAATAAAGGGCAATCATATGAGAATATCTTTTATTATAACGAGACAACCTTAACCCTAGCAGACTGCTACTAAAGGTTAAACCAACCAAGGCACATGGTTCGGTTAAACCTCGAACATATGACTATGAGTTAGGGGTGCGTTGAGCCCTGGTCGGAAGGTGCTCTGGGCTTATAAGCTGGAAAACGAAATCCAACCATTTAACTTGGATTGTCACGTGTCAGATAAAGTATCACTTTCTTGGGGCCCACTGTCTCTCAACCTGTCGTAAACCATAGAGGGGTGGGCTGCTGACGCTTTTGAGCTCCGAGCCTCCGACCACCCAACATGTTCGACATTTAACGCCCCACCCTCTTGGCTAGTCGGCGCTATTTTTAGTTTATTACCTGCTGTCTCATAACCGTAATATTTTTTTCTTTCTTTCTTTCTTTTTACTGCTTTATCAGAAATTATTGTTGGAAAGCTCAAAACCCACTCGCAGTTAGAACGCGTCAAGCGAGTGCCTTCTAAAGACTTTATTTTTTGGCGTAGTTTAATTTACTTGACGGGTAAGAAGTTAATTTGTTTGTCTTGAAAATGAGGGTTTTAGAATTAAATTTTATCCATTTTCTTTTGTTAGCACTATTTTCAAATGTTCGATTATAAAAAGATAACATATTTTAGTCACATTTGAAATTAAATAATCTATTTTTTTAAAACGTACATCAAGCAAATCGTTCTCAACACTAAAAAAATAATATTAGGATTTAGTTCTATGACAGACAGCTAAAACAATGGTTGCTAAATTTTAAGACGTGTTATAGTTTTTTTTTTTTTTTAACATTTCTCGTAGTACTATTAGTTGAGGTATGGTTTCATGGTTGTACCAAACATTTAAAAATGATTCATGGGAAATGAACTTTCCGTTGAGATATTTTTCAAATATAATGAAAGATAATTTATTAAAATTAATGTGTTAATCAATTAATTGAAATTTTAATATTTAAAAAGTTATACAATAGATTTAAAAAAGGATCCAAACTAAAAACAATTTATGTAAGTAATGAAAATTTGATTGGAAAGGCTTTTTATATAAATACTTTGAATGCTCGTGTATGGGATTCGAATTTCGTGAGTTCAAAAATAAAAAAATAATTTTTGAAATATTTTTATACCAAAAGATTCACGGATTGTAATGTTAAATCTAAAATTATATACAAAACTAAAAATGCAAGAGAATAATAAATTGTTTTTGTCCAAATTTGACAATTTTTCATTGCAATGGTTAATTTCGTTTCACACTTATTTAAACTTTTTCAAAATGTGTTTTTTTACTTACATTGGTTGTCAAAGACACCTAATTTAAAGTTTCAACTTACATGATTTTTTGTGCTATAAGTTTTAGAATTTTGACTTAGCCCTTGTGTTTTTTGCTAGAAAATTAAGAAAAAATATTTAAAAAGTAGGGATGTGAGATCAACTTAGTTTTCAAATAAAAAAATAATTTTTATCTAATTTTTTAATAAATAAAAAGTGAAGAAAAAATATAAGAAAAATCAAGAAAAAAAAATTCTTGTGAATGTCATGTGCCTATTAGCTAACCGTATTAAAGTCCCTATAACGAAATAAATGCACAAATGATTATGTGTTATTTTTAAATATTAAAAGACATTTATTTTACCTCATATATATTTATGTAATTAATCTCGATTAATTTATAAAATTTGATTAAAAATGTTAAACAAAAGCGACGAGGATAACTGCCATTGAAAGTAGATCTGGCAATTAATATTTTTATGTCATGTTTTATGTTATGTTTGATACGTATAATAATATAAATTATTAAAATATAAATACAATATAAATTATAAAATGTGTTTAAATTTTAAATATGAATATGATAAATTTAATATACGTATTATATGCGATACGATATAATTAATATATGTGTTAATTAATTCATTTAAATATGATACAAATAACATAAATAAACATAAATAAATACGATTAATATGGATATATAAATAACTATGACTAATACAAATATATAAAAGAACACAATTAAAATAATAAATAACTATAAATTATTTATCATTTACAAATTAATAAATTTGACATATTAATAATATAAAAAAGTACTTACATATTAAAAAAATAAAAAAAAATTAATACTCATTTAATATATATTTAAATTTGAATTTATGTTTCAAAATTATATTAATTTTTAGTATCAAATTTCAAATGATAAATTAGTAAAGATTAAAAAATAAAACAATAATATATAAGAATAATATTAATATTTATATTGTATTTATATTATTAATATAAAAAATTTTATAATAATTATTAAATGAGTACCATAAAAAATAATTTTTATGAAATTAAATAACTAATTAGGTATTATAATTAAAAGATTAAAAATTAAAATAATTTTTAAATATTTATATTAAATATGCCAAATATATTAAAAATATATTCATATAATTAAATTAAATTAAATATATTATTTATATTATATCACGAATTTAAATAAATCAATCGTATATATTATATGAATTTTATCGTATTTGCAATCTGTATCTATATAAATAAATACAAAACATTTTTTTTAAAACATATATATTCTTAAAGGGTCGAACCAGGAATCTGACCTTTTTATTTTATTAGTTTCAATCAAGTACATCAGGTATTACAACAACTCAACATGTTCCCAGTT